GATTTCTAGCATCAATTGCTTTAAGAATATACTATCAAGCGAACAATTATTTTAATAGAGTGGCTCATTCTCGGAGTCACATCTACAAAGCTATAAATGTTTTAAACTAACATTTGTTTACAAAAATAAATGTTTTAAATTTATATTTTTAACGTTTTGTAAATATATTATAGATTTAATTAGTATAATCTTATTTTTTATATATAAGGGATATATTTATATGTATGTAATGTATTAGAAATTGGTTTATTAACTTCAACTATTTTTGCTTCAGCCATTCTTACAAACTCGTTATACTTACACTTAAAGTTACTTTTTTCTGTAAAATACTAGTTAAAGATATAAAGCCCACTCACTAAACATCATCAGCGATATTGTTAAGCAGTTCCGCTTCCTCCTTACTAAGTAATTTAACGTTTTTAGTTAATTTCTATCTAGCTAATTAAATTTCCACAGTAACTCAATGATTTAGTTATTTCATTTGTTTATCTTACTAAGAAGAATTGTTTCAAATATGTTAAACTTTTCAAACTAAGCGAAGCATAAAACAGGTACTGAAAAAACTTTTTTTATTTATAATTAAATTATGTAGCGTTAGTTTAATTGGTTTAATCTTGTTGGACTTTACAGGGACGGGGGCTGCATTATTTTGGTGGCCTTTTTTATGTGCGACAGCGTAAAAATGACTTAAAAATACCGATAGGTCCTCTTGACTATTTCTCGGCCCATAACATTGTGTGTCCCGGGACTATAGCTCTTTAACCCCCTCCCCCCCCCCTCCCAATTCTTATTTCCAGCACTGGAAATAAGTCATAAGTATATAAATAAAAATTATATATAATCTTTGATAAATTGAAGAACATTTGCTTCTTTATTAAACAATCATTATTAGTACGTTATTACTATATACAAAAAATGTCACTTTTTTTAAACTATTTTTCTTTTTTTAACTGTCTCTCATTGGTCCAGTTTATCTTATTGCGCTTTTTTGCTTGTTTTTGAAATGTTCTCAAAACGCCTAAAAAATCTGGCCGGTTTTTCGCAACTAAATATAATTTCCGTGGTCAAATATCGAGTGCGATCGGGAAGCGTCCCGACCAAGCCTGTATATGTATATTTTCTCTTAGCAAAAGTTATTAACAATCGAAAAATAAAAAAAATTCTTCTGGAATTTGTCAAATTTTGACAAATTCCAGAAGAATTTTTGTGACTCAAAAGAATGATGTGTTATGCTTCATTTTAAGGTATCTAATTATGTATTTATTTTTCATTTTTTAGAAGAAGTTAGAACTAAATTGACTGGTAAAATAGTTTTATTAGCACAATGTTTCTTTTTTAAGAAAACTGTTTCAGTTCTGTCATTAGTCTTTTTAAAACATTTTAAGCAAGTATTTGCTTTATTTTTTAGAGCAGTTAAGAGGAACTGATCGCTTTTTTAGTAAGTTTAATTCATTTTCTCATACATAGGCTAAGATTTTTTTATATAAAAAGAATAAAGAGAATAAAATTTTATTTATGTATTTAATATGAAAAGTTAAATAAAATAAGACTGTTATTTGTGGTCATGTAAGTTTATATACATAAGTTTGCGTTTATTTCAGTCTATTTTATATTTTATATCTATATTTTCTCAAAGGAAAAATAATAAGGAATAGAAAAATTTAGAAAATTTGCTCTGGAATTTGTCAAAAGAGTGTTGTGTTATGCTTCATTTTAAGGTATCTAAATATATACTTATTAGAAATTTTTAATTTTGTTTTTAAATGGTTTATTCTTTTTCATTACTTTAGATAAATATATACTGACTGACATAACTTCATTTTTATTAACAATGTCGTGCATTGTAGTCTGCATTCTTTGTTACATTTAAAATAATTGATGCTAATAAATGTTGTTTTATAGTTGTTAAAAGTTTGCATATATATGTTTGCATGTATATTATGATCAAAGTTAATTTTTTTTTGATAAATACGTGTATGTGGTGATATATGTTATATAGTTGTTATATAAATGTGTTTTTATAATAGTATGAAATGTATTATATCTAATTTCTGCAAGATTGTTAAATGGGGTGTTTTTATATGCTAAGTAGCATTAAAAAAATATATTGTTTTATAATTAGTATATATGTTTATATAATGTTGTTTCCATGATTTCAAAGTGAAGTGACTTGGCAAACGTGTAGAGCAAGATTTATCAACCTTACCAGTCAAGCGATGTTACTGCTTTAGGTCTAAGTGTTGCCTTGCCTTTAATATAACTATTCTGAAAATACATTGCTTTATCTTTAATAATTTTTCGCGTAATGTTGTTACCTTTGGTTTATCTTAACCTTGGTGTCAGCTGTTAAAAATGATTAATAGGTAGTTTCATTATTAGAACTCACTGCTTTTATTTATTTACTGAAATTCATTCAAGACATCATTTCGCTATAAATACAATTTGTTTATCATAAAAAAATAATATTTAGCAACTACTACTCAGGTATGATGTTTTTCTTTGTTACATTTTTAACTTCAGATTTATGGTGTATTTATTTGCTATAGAAGAACAAATCATTTTGAATTTTTTTAAAAAATCTACTCCAATCAACATTTAAAGTTCATTGTTGCATATACCATTTTTAAGTAGCTTCTAGGCTTTTTTGATGCTTTTCTTATTCAAGTGGTTTTATAAGCAAGGTCTACATGCAAATTTGAGATGAAAAGTTTTTCAGCTTTCAAGGGGTATCAATGTTGTTCTCTGTTTAATTTAATTTGTTTAAATAGAGTAGTTTTAGTAAATAAATGTTTGTTTGTTCTTGGTTTTTTACTTATTTGTTTTCAGATTCTTAAGAACTAGGCAACTTAGCAAAGCAAGATTTATTTTATTTTTTAGTGCAATTGGAAAGAGCTAAAGTGCTTTTTAGTCACTTCAAATCATTTGTTTCTTTTTTTAAATAGAAAGGTTAATAATAAAAATATTTAGACAGTCAACTGTTACTGATTTGAGTAAGTTTAATGTTTTGTTCAATTTTATATTAGAGATATATTTTTATGTATTTAACATGGAAAACTGACTAATTTTTGACAGGTTAATTTATATACATAAATGTGCCTATATATCAAAATATTTTATATTTCTCTGAATCTATATGAATATTATCTCAAAGAAAAAGTTAGGAATAGAAAAAATTTGAATATATATACATACATATATATATATTACTTTAGACTGACATTGCTTATTATACTACATTATAATATGATTCTGCATTTATTATTTTTGTGCATTAAGATTGTGCCTGAAGGCTTTCTTAATTTAGCAAAGAATTTAGAACAAAATACAAATATTTTTGCATTGTGTTCTAAATTCTTTGCTAAATTAAAATAATGTCAATAAATTTTTTTTTATATTTTTCGGTTGTAAAAATATAAAACGTTCATTTATTCAGTTGTAACAGTAGTATAATCACTGGTAATATATATTTAATAATAACAGATGTATAATATTAGGCTCGAAGAAGTTATTAGTGTAAATGGTTATAGGTGACTTGAAATTGTTGTCATATGAAAGAAATAGATCTAGGCGTAATAAAATTAATTTTCCTTGAAATATAAGAAATTTTACTTGATGAACCGAAAACTTACTTGACAGAATTCAATGTCAAGCGGTGTTGATGTCTATTATTTGACTTTACATTAGACACTTTAAAATAAAGCAAAGTATGAATTTTACTATTTATAGTAACAAATAATAACAGTTTCAATTTTTTTTTTTTTTTGTTATCTTAAACATAATTGTGTTCATTTTTTTTTAGTTGTCTTTGTCATCACTTGATTATTTTGCTTACTGTTGAAACATGGTTTTAATTTTGTAAAATTAATATGATGTGAAATTTACAATATTAATCATTTGTCAACAGTTAGAGAGAAGCTGGAACTTAATTAAGAAATGCTGGAAATTAATTTTTAGTCAAGGTAAAAATAATTTTGTTTATTGAAAGCATAATAAAACCAGTTACTGTTATTTATTGCATGACTTTTTTACTTTTTCTAACATGCTGTTTTTAAAACACTTCCTCTCTCTCTTAGATGAGACTTAAATAATATTAGTATTGAGAATTTATTAAACTCTGTAATTACTAAGCTCTTGTGTATTTTTTAATACTGCGATTGATAATTTGCTATTTAAAGATATAATTCTTTAAATTGTCCCTTGGTTGTTCAAATATTGTAATAAATAAAATCTTTTTCGTTTCAAGTATTTTCTCTTAGGGATCGTCTATATATTACGTAACGCAAAATTAAACATATAGACAAAAGAAATATCTCAAAAACCGTGTTTCTCTAATGGTCAACTATATGCTGCATTTTCAAGAACTATAGCATTTAATAGTTTGTTTTTCAAAATTGATAAACATTTTATTCAAGGTATAGTAGGTTAAAAAATGTAACAAATATTGTTATATTTTTTAATGTTCTTAATTTATAGTCTTTAGATTTTCATTTCGAAAATTTATTGTTAAAGGTTGTGAGCACATTTTGTATGTATAACTTTATCATTATTTATTTTTTTTCATTGTTTTTGGTAAATATATCTATCATTCAATAGTTGTAAAATGTGTTTATACGTGTTACATAAAGTCATATTTGTTTATAGTTGTATATATGTTTAAATTATAAAAGCCAAAACAACAATTTATATCAGGGTTGTCCAACGCGTGGCCCGCGGGCCACAAAGTGGCCCTCGTTGTCTTTTGCCATGGCCCGCGTTTTCAATTCTTACTTATCAAAAACCATTCAAAACTTTTAACAAAATCAAGTGACTATTATATTTTTAAAACTATTTTTTCTGTAGCTCAGAATTAGGGCAGTTTTTTAATATAATTTTAAAAATCAGATTTTTTTTAAAATTGCAACACGGTTAAAACTACCGCCTTATTTTTTTTATAAAACCAGTTAAAACGGTATTGACTATTTGGTTAGCGGAACCATAGTTATATTGATTTTTTTTTAAATATGGCTTCTGCTAGTGCTAATAAAAGACGTAGAGCTGAAACTGAAAGTGGAAGAGGAGGTCGTATATTTAACCCATCTTGGACAAATGAATATTTTGTAATGGAGCAAAATAATTCAATTATGTGTCTCATTTGTTTTGAAAAAATTGCCGTGTACAAAATGTATAATGTTAATAGACACTATACTACAAAACATGCAGCAACTTATGATAAATTCAAGGGCCAATTTCGTGTTGATAAGGTAGAACTGCTAAAGAAAAATTTTATCGGGCAACAATCAATAATGAAAAGTAAAGTAATTAGCTCATACAGTGCTACCAAAATAAGTTTTTTAATTGCAGAAAATATTGCAAAAAGTGGTCAACCTTTTTCTACTGGAGATTTAATAAAAAACTCTATAAAACAATTTTGTAATGAGGTATGCCCTGAAAAAATACAATTTGCTGAAGATCTCAGTCTTTCACACCAGACAATTGCAAGAAGGGTTGAAGATCTATCAAAGAATATTGAATTAGCATTGAAAGAAAAACTATGTAAGTGTGAAGCATATAGTCTGGCACTTGATGAATCAACAGATAGAAGTGATACGGCTCAGTTAGCTATTTTTATTAGATTTATAACAAGTAATTTTGAAATAATTGAAGAACTGTTGGATTTCAGGCACATGAAAGGCACTACTAAAGGGGAAGATATTCTTTCTGAAGTCAAAAAAACAATGATAAAGTTTGATTTGCCAGAAACAAAACTCTCTGGTGTCACTACAGATGGAGCAAGTTCAATGAAAGGAAAAAATATTGGATTTGTGGCATTATTTAAGAAATCCATTAATCACAACATTCTTTCATATCACTGTATTATACATCAGGAACAGTTATGTGCAAAAGTATTAGAAATGAAAGAAGTCATGGAAATTGTTATCCAAACTGTTAATTTTATAAGAAGTCGTGGCCTTAATCACAGACAGCTCAAACAATTGCTTGAGGATTGTGGAAGTGAGGCAGAAGATGTAATTTATTTCTGCCAAGTTAGATGGCTTAGTCGAGCTGCAACTTTGAAAAGATTTTGGATATTAATACCTGAAATAATAAAGTTTCTAAAAATTAAAGATAAAGACACAAGCTTTCTTGAAAATAATGACTGGCTGAATGATTTGGCATTTTTAGTTGACATTACACAGATGTTAATGGAATTAAATATCAAGTTGCAGGGTAAAGATCAACTTATTAGTAAATTATATGAAAATGCAGAAACATTTGTTTTGAAATTGAAACTTCTCAAACAACAATTAAGTCAAAAATCACTTATCCATTTTAAAACATTGTCAGAAAGAAATACCAACACAGTTGACTATGAAAAATATTGTAATCTTATTTTAAAAATAATTGATGAATTTGACACAAGATTTTGTGATTTTAAAGAAGTAAAGAATGAGTTAGACTTATTTTCACATCCATTTTCCATTAAAGTTGAGACAGTAAGAGATGAATTTCAAATGGAATTAATAGAACTACAAAACAATAAAGATTTGAAAGATGCTTACAAAGATGTTGAATTGTTAGAACTTTATAAAAAATACATGAACATTGAAGTTTATCCACATTTGTGCAAACACGCTATGAAATACTTTTCCCTTTTTGGAAGCACATACATCTGTGAACAATTTTTTTCAAGAATGAAACATGTTAAATCAGAGCAGAGACATAGGTTGAAAGATGAACACCTCACTGATACACTTCGGATTTCATCGTCCACTATAAAAGCTGACATTGATCAATTGTGTAAAAATAAACAATGCCAAGTTTCCCATTAAATACATTTTTTTTGACAATATTGAAATAGAATTAGTTGTTTTAAATTAGAAGTTTAAACAAAATGATTTTTCTTAATTTGTGGCCCTCGTGTTGTCATCAAAATAAAATAATGGCCCAGGCTGTAAAAAGGTTGGACAACCCTGATTTATATCATAGTTTGATTTTTTTTTTAGTATTGCTAAGGTACTTTTAGTATTGCTTTGGTACTTCGAAACAAGTTTTTTAGTTACATTTTCGATAAATCTTTAACTGCAGTTTCAAAATAGGTTACTATAAATGGGTAAATCGATTTTTCTTTGTAATTATGATATCATAATTTCATTACTTTTTTATTTTAGAATTACGTTATGACGCATTTATAAGATTTATAAAATAAAATAACCTGATTTCTTTTTATTGTAAATTTTTGTAAGTTAAAAAGATATAAATATATGCTATTAGTTAATTTTATATTTTATCTATTTTATGCCTAATAATTTGTTGTACATATTTTAAGGGGATCTTTGTAAATGGGGGGGGGGGGGTCGTAACTAAAAACCTTGAAAAACATGGAGAATATTGAAGTTTTGCGCATTAATATCGAGTTACTTAAGTTTTTTTTTTATGTGTTTAACTAATTAGTTAGCTTAGTCTGTATTTGCAACACTTTTGAGGAAAGAAAGAAAACATTCTTATATATGTAGATCATTGTTTTACATTTTATTATTTTATTCACCTGGCCACCATTAAAGCAAAAAGAGGGAAGGAACCTCTTTATTAGAGTCAAAATATTTAGGAAAATTAAATTTCGAGTTACAAAAGGAATTTTTAGTAAATGGTGGCAAATTACCGTTTACTTAAAATTAATGAAATAAAGAGGCCAAACAAATAATATAGAAATGGTCTGTGTTGAACAGACTTAACAAGACTCGGGTCCAGTCAGCTTGGTTTACAGATTTTTATGTCTACTTATCTCTTATAATTTTTATTTTAGGTTTGTCATATGATGCATTAATGCATTAAAAAATTTGTTATACCCATGTTTGATCGTAAATTAAATTTTTTTTGTTTGAAAGGTATTTGTACTCAGTTGCGTAGTTATTTATAATAAACTTTGTTATTTTTTATAAATTTATTTAAATGTGTGCATTTAACATTTTTAAGTTAACAATTTTCTTTTCTAAAGAATAATTAATCAAGGGGATACCAAAAAATTGATAATTCCTGTATAATATAAGTTAACTTCATTTTAATCTTAATGGTTCGTGTTATAAAAATTATTACAAGGATTTAGTTGACACTTTCCTCAATTTAAAGCATGACCAAGTGTTATTATTTTGTGTCAGTAACTAAAAACCTATTGTGTTAAACTTAGGAAGGTCGATGAAAATGGTTCTGCCTTTCACTGTTATGACCTATGCCATTTGTAAATTACTTAAATAATGTTAAGTAGTAATTGTTTAGTAGTAGTTAGTAAATTATTTTACCTCCTCATACTTTTATGTTAATTTTACAGATGGATTAATTTTTTCAAGCTAAAGGCGATTTTCTAAAAGGGTATTAGTTAAGGTTTTGCAACATTAAATTGTGGAAAACAGCCACTATAAATTAATTATGTAGCAGACCGACTAAAACCCGTATTACGGGTTGCTTTTTGCTAGTTGTTTATAAATGTTTTTTAAGGTTCCGATGATAAGATCTTAGTGATCTTCTTTCGGAAACCTAGTTATCACGATTTGTATATATATATTTGTAAAGTAATTTTAATAGTTTATTGTATTGTAAAACGACTAACTTTGTAAGCTGAAAAAAAAAAAAAAAAAAAAAAAAATTTATTAATAAAAATCTAGATAAAATTTAGAATTTTTAAATTGTGCAAGAGAAACCTCATTGAAAAAAAAGACATTTTCACAGTTATTTCTATCTTTTTTTAGAGTGTAGAAAAAAACTTATTTGTTTTTATGTGTTTTTGATAAAATTGGATTTGAAATACTTATGCCAAATACTTAATTTTTCTTTTTTTAAATGGAAACTATTTTATTGTGTTTTAAATATACATTTTTAAAGTTTTTTATTCATTTAAGAAATGTAATACCTAAAATGTTTTCATAAAATTCATATGCTTTTGGATAAATTTATAGATGTCTAACATAGATAACATAGATGTCTAACATAGATATACACATAAAAGGGGTCACTTGTCATAAAATAAGTTTTTTTGAACCGTTTATTCAAATTTTTGGTTAGTGTTATATAATGTCGTTCAAATGTACGACACCACAAGCTGTAGTGCAGGCTGTATCTCTCAATAATATTTTGTTCCTACTGCAATGGGTATTTATCCATTAAATCCTGATATTTTTACTGATGCTGATTATTATCTTAATTATGAAAATGATCGCCGAAATTGATCTTCTTCACATGTGGATTAAAATATCTTTTTATTTTTTTCACATGGTGATTGAAATACTTTTTCAGGAATTGGAAGCTACTTTTAAAATGATTAAACCAAATAAAGCAATAGGATTCGACAGAAATATGTACCCAATTAATATGTCATTATTAATTATTGCAATTTTATTTAAAATATTCTATTCAAATTTTTTTCGTCATGTGTTAGCCAAGGAGTTTTTCCTTATCAATTTAAAATTGCCAAATTAACGCCGATATTCAAAAGAAGGAATGCAACTAATGTAAATGACTTTCGCCCTATCTCTGTTCTTTCTGTATTTTCAAAAATTTTAGAGAGAATCTTTTATAGCTAAATCATTAAAAGCTTTTGATAAAATTGACCACCGAATTCTTATTAAAAGCTCAAACTATAATTCGTCGTTTTAAAATAGGTAAAGAGTTATTTAAAGAATCGTGCTCAATCTGTATATATTGACGCTTAATCACCAAAAACGTTACCAAACATTACTTGTGGCTGGCCACAAAGTTCTATAATCGGATCTTTGCTTTTTCTTATGTGCGTCAATGATCTCCATAAAGCATCCAGCCTAAGGACAATAATGTTTGCCGACTACACAAACTTATTTTTATCGCACAGCAACATTACTATATTATTTGAATTTATGAACTAAATAAAATTTCAAACTGAATCAAAGTTAATAAACTTTCAGTAAATATTGACCAAACTAATTCGATTCTATTTCCCCCACTTTCAAAAAAAAAATTAATGCCATACGATACGCCTTCTTTGATAATATTCAAGTAAAAAGAGTAAAAATTACGCAGTTTTTAGGAATATATATTACGTAGAGACAGCACATCAAAACTTTAAGCAACAAATTTTCAAAAACTATTAGAATATTTTACAAATCAAAAAACTATTTAAACATGCACACTTTAAATTTATTCACTGCCATATTAACTATGCAAGTATTGCGAGGGGTCAGTACTAACAAAAGTAAACTAGAGCCTCTCGGGTGGGAAATGAGCTAGCGACTAGGTAGTTTTATAGCAATTTTTAAGCGATTTTTTCCTATTTCATTTTTTCCTAATGTATTTAACATCTTTAAAAATTCAATTTATAGTGTTGAGTTTATTATAATTATGAGAATAATTGAACTTTAAACATTATATTTTGTAGCAATGTGTCGCTAGCTACATATCGTAGCTTTAAAGCTAACTACAAAATATCTACAAATCTATAGCTGGTTGATAGCTACATATCAAATTTTTTTAGACAGCAATTTTATTACGATATGACACCGGTTCTTTATTGTAATTAAAACATATAGCACGTTTAGTTAATTTTTGTGATCGACAAACTCATTCAAAGTCTCTCTTAAGAAAAATGAATGTTTAAACATATATCAACTTAATGTATATAATATTCTTCGTTTTATGTACAAATGTAAAACTAAATTATCTCTGTCTCCTTTTCATAGTTTGTTTATAACAAAACAAAAAAATTAATATGATCTACAAAATGATAATTTTTTGATGTAACCATTTTTGAAAACTAATCATAGCCAATTTTGCATATCTTTTCGTGGACCGTATCTTTGGAACAAAATTGTCTTAAATAACCTTGATTTTTCTTTTTAATGGAATTACATATCTCTTTTAAAAAAAGTTAAAAGAGTAGTTTTTTAAAATTGACAATATACAGATGTAATTTTAAAACCTTTTGAAATTGTTTTTATCTATTATTTATATCGGTTTATATTATTTGTAATGTATGATTTTAAATGATCGGTTGTATGATTTGTATTTCAATTATTTACGATAAGCAATGCTATATTGCTATTATAATGTCTGTTTATATTATATTTGAGAAATTTTTTAGCAATTTTTTTTTCTTTATGGGATTTTATCCCCCACCATCACAAAACGTATTCTATTTTTTTCTTTACTTAACTTTTCAAAGCTTAGTCCACTAATCTGGCAACTGATGGACATCATTTACAAAAGATTGTTTTACCGTGGTATCGTTAAACTGAGATTCAATAACGTCATTCGTTGATTTGGTATCTAAAAGACGAATAAATACGTTCAGTTTATTCTGGTGAATGCATTTTGATATGTCTTTAATTTTAAATAACGAGTATAAATAATTTTTGCAATGTTTCGAAAGGTTGAAAAGCGATTTTAATGCGCTCCTTCAAATTCTGTCTAAGTTTTTTTTGTTATGTCATTGTATATATATATATATATATATATATATATATATATATATATATATATATATATATATATATATATATATATATATATATATATATATATATATATATATATATATATATATATATATATATATATACATGTATTTAAAAATCTTTACTTGTAATTGTTTATATTATTATATATTAGCCTGTGAACTTTATGAATTATTAAAACAAAACAAAAAAAAATAAATCAGCCAGCCGTATTCAGTTCAACTAGAACCACCAAGTAAAAGATTTAAAGAATCATAAACATCATAACATTCATAATTCTCACCATTCAGTTGAAACATTTTACCTATTTGGGGTTGGGTACATATACTACAATTTTTTCTTTTTGAGTAGTTTTATAGTTTATATTTAATAATCGAAATGTAACTTTTAGTTAATTACCCTATATTTAATTTTCCATTAAAAAGCCAACTAGCCATTAATAAGTCAACCCAAAAATTAATAAGTAAAAACTTGAATAAATTTTTAGTCTAAGCAAAATTTTTATGTTTCTTTTTTTTAATTATTTTAGTAGCAATTACTCAAAATAAGTTGAAAGATTATCCGTTATTAAATAGAGCAAACGAAACTTTAATCTAGGAGCGCGAAAAGGGCCTTTAAAAAAAGATGCGGCCATAAATAAACTTTATCGCGGAATTTTAATTTTTGAAACAAACCAATCATAGCTATGTATTTTTGATTTGGAATGTCTATATCCACTGTTTATCATAGTCAATCCAAAGCACGTGGAAGCATAGCCAGCTAATACTTTTTCAATTTTTCAATTGGTAATACGATTTAACGTTATATGATTTTATTTAAAACTAACGTGGAGACCTATGTTAGTTATAAAATCTCTCTTTTGTTCGTCAAAAATATTAGGTTGTTCTTTCTATAAAACTGTTTTTACTATCAGGTGATCTATAAATTATCAATGTTCCATTTATTATTACTAATAAATCTTTATTTAATCATTAAATTTTAACGAATAAATGGTATTAACTATTTGTTATATTTTCCTATGTTATTAATAGTAAATAAGATAATAATTGATATTATACCTAATAAATATTATTATATCTAGACAATAATGAAACAAAATTGAGGAAACTTTAGTTTGTTCACATCTATTACATACAAGTGTATCCTATCTTGAAACTCCCTCCTAAACACCCTAAAATCAGATCTCATCCTTAGGGTTCAAGAATCTGTTCTTAAAGTCACTCCACTATTTCTACCTAAAATTTTAGGTAGAAATGAAAAGAAAGTACTTTATAAAAAGTTACGCTTAACTTAACTCGTTACCTTTTTACCTCTTTACCTTTTCATTTTATATATATTTTTAATAAAGTCTGTTTTATTGGTGTTACTAAATTACAAAACTATTCTTTTTTTATGTGGCTAACTTATCTAACTTTAACTTACATACTTAACTTAGTTTTATTATGTGGTTAACTTATTTCATATTATTATTATTTTATTTTATTTACTTATTTATTATTATTTTTTCCTTTATATTATTTATGTCGTTGGGCTTTATTAGTGAATCACTATTTGCAATGACTTGTGTTTTATTGTAACAACTTGTTAACATGAAATGTATTGTTATTGTTGTTGTTTGTTTATAATACATATAAAGAATGCTGTCAAGAATCACAAGATGGGTGGATGACAACTTTTTGTCCACCCATGGTTTTTTGCTTTGTTTGTTCCAAATGTTGTTGGACATTATATTTATCTTTATCAGTTCTACTTTGCCAGTTTTTTTATATCTAAATAGTGGTTAATATGTAACAAGTGCTTTATGATTGCTAAATTGGCAAGCCCATAGCTTATTCTTTTTTAACAACAAGTCTTTTAATTCACAGTTTATGATTTCAAGATGTGTACCACTAATGTAACATTTATGTTAAGAGATGTGTGTTGCACACTTTTCTGTCAAATGTTAAAAATAGTTTAAGATCATGTTTAAGAGTGGTTTGAGATTTATTGAGTATAATTTGTGTTGAAATTGTGTTAAAGTTAAGACTTTCTAAAGAAAAAAATGTTTAAGTAAATTCATTTTTTTCTTTTTAAAAAATAATCCATAAGTTGGCAATAAAGTGTAGATGATGATTGGATATTTTTCCAAATAGTAATTTGTTTGGCACTCAATCTCAATGAAACAAATGAAAATACAATCAGAAAAGTCATCAGTAGCATGTTTGTCGCTCTACAACTTTTACTCAGTGGGCAGATTTATTTTTTTTTTGAATTGCAAGGGAGATTTTTAGTTGTTTTAATTAATTTTTTTTTGTGTGTGACTTTTTATGATTTTTGAAATGTTGTCTGAGCAGCTGTAGCTAATTTTTGTAGTGTTTTGATTGAATTGTTTATCTATTATTGCAAAAAGATTTGGCCAACATTGGTAGAAACGCTTTTATTGTAGGGTGGGTTAAACCAAATTATATTCCTGTTTCTTTTGGGAAGTGTGTTATTTTTTGGGTTGTACTTTAAGTTAAAGTTTTTAAAACTGTTTTGTTCAAGTGCTTCTTCGTATTCTGTTTTTGATGCATTAAATATTTTTTCATTGGAAGAATTTTGTGGTAGTTGATCATTAATGGAGAAAGGGATCTGCTTAAGGACTTGGAGCGAGTGATTTGATTCAGTGTAGATGTAGAGCAGTTGGTCATTTTGTTTTTTAAAAGGTTGGTAGGAGTTTTTTTGAAGATTAAAAGTTATATCAAGAAAATTAACACTGTTTAGATTGGTTTGAATCTCTATTTGAAATCCGATCTTTTTAAATATCTCAATTATATTTTTTCTGACTTGTCTATATATGCGGTAGTTTTTTTGTGCATCACCATCAATCCGTCTTCTTGGTAAAGACCTATATCATTTTTAGTAATGGTTTTGGATATAGAGTCTAGAATGTGTAAACTCACCAGTTCACATACTTCGACTCTATCAAAACAACCCATTGTGATGTCAAAGTAATCATTATACGTCTTTTTATCCATGTTTTATTTTTAAAAAATAATAACGATTTTCTGCAATGATTTATGGCTTTTATATTAAAGCATTGTTTAGTATGTCTTTTGTGATGGATGGGTAAAATTCATTGATGTCGAGTTTTATAAATACACAGTGTTGCTTGTCGCTTATTTTGTAAACCATTTGATTACTTCTGCTGTGTTTGATTACTTTTGTTTGTAAACCATTTGATTACTTCTGCTGTGTTTTTTCATTGGTTTAGTTTTAATTTTTTTTTTAAGTCCTTGTTAATTTTATCTAGGTATGTTTTGCTGACAATCTGAGTTCACTTTTTGCTGGATTTAATAGGCGGCAAGGTTTTTGATTTTCGAAGTTGTTTTTGTGGTCTTTTAATGTAATGAATGCTTCTGATTTGGCGATTATATTGATCTGTTTCTTTATATTTAGTTTAGTTGCTATGCTTTTTGCCTCGTTTTCAGGGGCTTTTTTGTATGTTTTAGCAATGTTTTCTTTTAATAATTTGGAGTATTCTTCGCGGGGTAATTGGTAAATGTTGTTGGTTTTGTCTGCAAATATTAGGATGTTGGGGTTAGATTTAATTTTTGAAACGTCATTCTTTAATTTTTTTTGAAATTAGCTTTGGGATTTTTTAAACTTTATTGATTTTACTAAGTTTTTTATTATTTCAATTTATTTGCATTTAAATAAAAATACAAAAAGGTGATACAGGTATTTTGAGAATTACTCTTATGTAACACCAAGTTTAAAACAGTAAACAGTGAATATTGTATGTTTTTAAATTTGATTTAAATAGAGACAATGAAGAGGAATACACCAAATAATCAGTTAAAGAATTCTATATCTTAGTAACTCTTTTACTGAAAAAAATCTCCTTATATTATTGATGTAGTTGTTACGTGATGTTAATTTTTGGGAATGACATCTAGTTAAATAATAAGTAGGAGTAAGAGTAAAAAACTCAGAAAAAGGTAAATCAACTAAGTTGTGCATAATCTTCTAAGTCATTAAAAGACCAAATTTTATTCTCAGTCTTGAAGAATAATTTTTATATGGAATACAACACCGTTTGCAGACAATTCTTGTATAATGTTTCTGGACCTTTTCTACCCGACGTATATCTTTTAGGAGATATGGATTCCACACAGGGGTACATGACTCTAAAATTGGTCGAATATAAACTTTATAGGCTCTTCTTAAAAGTTGGGAATCATTACTGACGAAAGACTTTAAGAGTAAGCAAGCTCAAGAACTTGCTTTGCTAGCTATGTGAGAACAGTGTTTAGAAAATTTCATATCGGAAGAAATAAATATCCCAATATCTTGGATTTAATCAATTGATTCGATAGGCGTGTTGATATCCAATAAGTATGAATGTTCTGGTAATAGATTCTTTTCGTATCGCAGGTGAAAACATTTTTTTAGTAGATATATTGAGTTGACAATTATTTGACCATTCTGAAATTCTCTTTAAAGTATTTACAAGGTTGATATTAATTCCATCTTTTTGCTTGATACAACTTGCTGTCGTCCAAAAAAAGCTTGATTCCACAATCCCCCTCAATACACGAGGTTATATCGTTTATAAAAATTAAAAATAAAATGGGTCCCAAAACAGTTCCTTGAGGTATTCCACTTTTTACATGAATGCTGTTTGAGTATGAATCATTAATACAAACACATTGAGAACGATTTGTCGCTGCTAAATTGGGTTACAAATAAGTTTGTAACCCAATTTAGCAACTCATACTTGATACCGTAACAACACAGTTTAAATAGTAACTTAGAATGAGACACAGTATCAAAGACTTTCTCAAAGTCTATATAGATGATATCAACTATTTTTTCATTATTAACAGCAGTGTTCCACTCATTTAATGTTATCAACATCTGTGTACATGAAGATCTATGTTTCAAAAAACTGTACTGATGCACAGAAATGAAATTATTCAGAAGTAAATTACTTGTAACGCTTTCCATGATAATTAATTCCATAAATTTACAGACAATACATGTCATAGAAATAGGTCTATAATTTGTGGATAACAACGGATTTCCTTTTTTAAATATTGGACATATTATTGGAGTTTTCCAGATCCTAGGGATAACAGTTAAATAGTTCTATCTCAAAGTTTCTAATTCTTTGGATTGTGGAGGTGTTTTTTAAACCAAAAGTTTTTATTCCTATCATGACTGATTTTATAAATAGTCAGGTCATAAATTCAGTCAGGTCAGGTTTATCCTGCTACTGGTAACATGTAACCCAGTACAATCTGCTTCATGTCCTGCTGCCTTGTAGGATGCGCCTTTTTAGGCAAAGGCTAGGAGATGCAAACTCTGACATAAAACATCCCCTGCCTTGGAGCTCTTGGTTGAGTAAAGGCTAGAGATGGTGTCTCAATAAAATACTCATCTTGGGCAGATGTTAAATGCATCCGACTGCTGTCTGGTAGAAGGCCTCCTAGGTAAAGACTTAAGGGGTAAACAGATTCTATCTGTTGACCAGCCTTGCACCCCTTCTTCATCTATTAGGCTGGCGCAGATGTATTTTTAATACATTGTTTGCAGTTTAGGATGTTGAACACTGGATCTTCTTGACTCGATGCATGGGTTTTGCTTGTGTTTTTATGACTAGGCAACTCATTCTATTATCTCTAAATGAGGGTACAGCTCTAAAACTCAGTTTTATGGTTCTGAGGCCTGCTGGTAGTCAGGTTTCCCAAACTCTGTGGTAGCTCTCAGAGAGGCTGATTCCATCAACAGCTGAAAAATATCAAAGTACTAACAGTGCCATGTTGCGCATGAATGGTGTCCCTGTTTGTACTTTTGGTGTGCATTGCCAAGGCCACATTGGAGCCCTTTGTTACGGCTTAGGGTTTATTAGTGTAAATGAGGCAATTGCTTGGGCTATAAAACAGTGTACTGAGTACTATCTATGTTTCGAGTCAAGTTCTTTAACAAATTTAAAAATGAATAAAGTAACAAAAACTATAAAACACAAAAAACCAATATTCGTGGTCTTCGAAGTAACTTTTCTTCTGTTGAGTCTTATCTCTTGCAAAGTTTACCAGACCTACTTGCTCTTTGTGAGACTAATTTGAGTTCTTCTGTCTCATCTTGTGATCTTAGTGTTGATGGTTATCTTCCTTTAATTTGTAAAGACTCCAATAGTCACATGCTTGGCCTGGGTATTTACATTCGCAAGAATTCACCCATTTGTCAGGAAACTAGGTTTGAATCCACAGACTACTCTTTTATGTGCTTTTGTTTAGCACCACTTCACTCTATCACCTTTCTCTTTGTTCTATATCGCTCTCCCTCATCTTAAGACTGCAAGCTTCTTGATGTTATTTCTGATCATATTGATTAAGACCTCTCTCTTTATCCATTAGCCAATATTGTTGTTGTCGGTGACTTTAATGTTTATCACACTGAATGCTCTAGTGTCAGTGACTCTGCAGGCATTAAGGCCCACAACTTTTGCCATTCTCAATCCCTAACTCAAATAGTCAACTTTCCAACTCGCTTTCCAGGTAACCTGAATCATTTACCTTCTCTTCTCGACTTATGTCTTGTTTCTGATCCTAGTCAGTGCTCAGTTTCTCCACACTCACCCTTAGGTGTCTCCGATCATGGTTTGGTCTCTATAAAACTATTATTTCATTCTTCTTTATCATCAGAATCCCCCTATCACCGTACATCTTACAACTACCTTAAAGCTGACTAGGACTTTCTCCGTGATTTTCTTCATGATGGCCCCTGTGTAGAAATTTTTCGTCTTTCTTTTGACAAATGTGCTTCTTACATAACTTCGTGGATTCAGGCTGGCATGGAATCCTTTATTCCCTCTCAACGATTCCAGGTCAAGCCTCACTCTTCTCCATGGTTTTCCTCACATTGTGCTGCTGCAATTGCCAATCGAAACCATTACTTCCATATCTATCAGCAAAACAATTCTCCAGAAAACAGACGTCTGTTTATTACTGCTAAGAACCATTGTAAAAAGGTTTGTCTAATGCCAAAGCCTGCTTTTCTCAGATCATGAAATCTCGTAGTTCATCACAAAAGTTAGGCTCTCATGACTTCTGGAGAATCTTTAATAGTATCAATAAAAAGGGCAAGTCTGTAATTCCACCTCTTTTGTATGGTTCAGACTTTGTCACCTCACCTAAAGACAAAGCTGAATTGTTTGCTAAGAACTTTTCATCAATATCATCTCTTGACTCCACTAGTTGAGTTCTACCATATATAGCCGTCAAATGGGTTGATCCATTGCTCGACAACCATATTACTCCAGCTCTTGTATCTAAAGTGATTTCCTGCTTAGACTCTTCTACAGCTTGCGGCCCGGACAATATATCTGTTATAGTCTTGCAGAAGTGTTCTCCGGAGCTGTCGTTTATCTTTTCAAAACTATTTAACAAGTGCTTATCAGAATTTTGTTTTCCAACCTGCTGGAAAGCAGCATCTGTTATCCCTATTTTAAAAAATTCTGAAGAGCGATCCGATTCATTTAACTACCGTCCCATTAGTCTTCTTCCTATCATAAGCAAGGTTTTTGAATCTTTAATTAACAAACACTTAATCTCTCATCTTGAATCTCATAACCTACTTTCTGATCATCAATATGGATTTTGATTTTCTCATTCTACGGTTGATTTGCTAACAGTAATGGCCAATAGGTTTTATCGTGCATTAGATAAAGGTGGAGAGGTTAAGGCCATTGCTCTTGACATTTCTAAAGTGTTTAATAAAGTTTGGCATGCTGGTCTTCCTCATAAGCTTTCTTCTTACCGTGTATCTGGAAACATCTTTAAGATTATTGAATCTTTTTTTTCCAATTGTAGTATAAAAGTTGTCTTTGATGGACAGCACTCTTCTTCTTATTCTGTAACCTCAGGGGTTCTCAAGGTTCAATCCTTGACCCTATACTCTTTTTAATTTACATTAACGATCTTCCAGATATTCTCACATCTAAGGTGGCATTGTTTGCTGATAATACTACCATTTACTCTTATCACGATAAGAAGCCAACTCCCTCTGATTGCTTGCAGGGGGCATTTGAGCTTGAAAATGATCTCACTTCTGCTACAGCATGGGGCTCACAGTGGCTGGTGAACTTTAATTCAGATAAAACTCAATTTTTTTCAGCCAATCGTTATCGCAATAATTTAGACCTTCCTATATTTATGAACGGTAATGAGTCATCTACCCTTCATCTTCTAGGATTAACTCTCACTTCTGATCTTTCTTGGAAACCTTATATCAAATCCGTTGCAAAATTAGCATCTGCTAAAGTTGCATCTCTTTATCGAGCTCGACACTTTCTAACTTTGGATTCTATTCTCTATCTCTATAAATCTCAAATCCGGCCTTGTATGGAATACTGTTGCCATATCTGGGGTGGATCTTCCAATGATGCCCTTTCTCTTTCAGACAAGGTGCAAAAACGCATTGTAAACATAGTTGGACCTGCTCTTGCAGCCAACCTTCAACCTCTGTCACATAGTCGTAATGTTGCTTCTCTTTCTCTTTTCTACAAATACTATAATGGGCACTGCTCTAAAGAGCTAGCGCCTCTTGTGCCATCTACTAAAATTCATTCTTGTGTTACTCGTCATTTAATTAAGTCTTCCTAAGTGCTCCAAAAACTATTATTTGTCTAGTTTTTTTCCTCGAACATCAGTTCTTTGGAATTCGCTTCTTTCATCTTGCTTTCCTGATGTATATAATTTGCAATCTTTTAAGTCGTCTGTCAATCGTTATCTTGCTGTACAATCTTCATCTTTTCTCTTCCAGTAACTTCCAATTCTAATTAGTGGTTGCTTGCAGCCTTGCTAGAAGCAAAGATGTTTTAAAAAAAAAAAATCAGTCATGATAGGAATAAAAACTTTTTATGTAATTTATGAAAATTTTGTTTATTTCTCATCATAGTATAAAAGTTATATAAGCAAGTTAAATTCTATTAAAATTATGATAAAATAGCTGTTAAAAAATGCCAAAATGACCAAAAACCAGGTTGAATTAAGTTGTTTTATTCATGTTCTGTAAGAAATTCCCATCCACCTTTTTATTAAAACACCTCCCCCCCCTCTCTCCCTTTTTATTAGATCTGGACTATAAGGTCCAGGTAATTCAATTCACCTCAAGGAACAATTCAGCTTGACGAAGCCAAATAATTTCTTGAGTTGAAGCATCTTTAACAGATATGGCAGATAGTGCTATTTGTTCTGTAACTATGCTATCTTTTGCAGCATAAAATACCGTTTACATCAAATTAAATTATTAAATCTATTAAGTTAAAGCAGTTTTATTATTTCTACTAGTTTAAAACTTTTTCATTATCTTTAATTTTCCTGATAATTACAAAAATAGACATTTTAAAACTTTTAAAAATATTTTATAACTTTTTTCTAACACTCTAGCAAATTAGTTTTGTGCAAAACTTTATTCTGCATAATTCTTTTTATCAAAAGTATTTTTTGAAATATCCATATAAAGAAATTTACTTTTGATGAGCTTTAGAATTTTTTTTTTACTAAAAGTTTTCACATTTTAAGTTTTGAATTTTATAAAAAGCATATTGCCCATTAACTTAAATCTTTTTTTTTTCTTTTTCAAATAGCTGTAATGATTGGTAATGAATTAGCAGTAAATAGTTTCTTTGAGTTCTTGTTAAAGGGGTTGATATTTAATAAAATAACATGGTAGTTTTTTAAACAACTTTTTAATATATTATATGCATATTACTTGATATGTGTATAATTTTAGAAAACTTATATAGTTTGTTAACTAATGTGGTAGCGTATTAGTGTTTTTTATTTTGTTTTAGATCCTTTTCAAGTTTTCAGTTTTTATCAAAAACAATGGGTAAAAGAGTACGACCTTTTATTTTTATTTTTATTGTAATTTTTATAATCTTCTTTTCTAGTACTGAATAAAAATATTAGAAAAAATTTAAAAAGTATATTTCTGTTATAATATTATTGCTCAATTTTATGTTATTTTTGACATTATTTTTATTTGCATTGCTGATTTCATTTATATGATAGGGACATCATATTTTTATTGGTAAATTTTAAAATTTGGTTCTTTTAAAATAAAATAAAAAATTCTTACAACTTATTTATTATTCGTGTGTTATTCATACCTCCATCATAAGTACACATGTTATTTATACATCAATTTTTTATGCATCATTAGTACACATGTTCTTTTTAAACTTTGTTTATTAAAGGAAATTCTAATAATGTTTTTTTTATTTTGTATTGATATTAAAAATAGTTTTTTTTTTATTACTAAACTTTGTGTTCAACTGATCTAGGTGAGCACAGGTGAAGTTGAAATCAATGTTTTTTAATTCTTAATTTTTAGTTTAAAGACTTGGTAATATCAATTATTATTTGGTATTTTATAAAAAAGCTTAGAATTGCTTTGTGGTCTTAACAAATTTTTTTGTTTTTATTTTTCTTTAAAATATTTAAATGAACCAAAATAAATATACGGGGAAAGGTGCCTATGATCGCATACTTAACTTTGAAATTTCATTTTTCAGTATCCTGAAGACCAAAAATAAAGGTTTTAATATAACTACATTCTTTATAATATGAAATACAGTAAACCACAGAGCTTTTTTTTTGTCTAAAAAATACTTATGTGATAAAAACATATTCAAAAATAGTTTTCTTCTGATTTCGAAACTATAGGTTTTAAAAGAACTGATTTAGAATGTAATTTTTTTAAAAAAAAATTGTCTGTTATATTTTATTCATTATCTTGAAGTAAAAAATACTATAATTTTTTTCAAAAATATTAATTAAACAATACTTGCCTGATATATAGCTAATCTAAATAAAACATATAAAGATACAAATAAACATTCTGATCTTTTTGTGGAAAAATGAATTAAAATAATGAGTTTAGTATTCTGTATAGTTTAATCTTGTATTTAGAGATGTTTATATAACTAATTGAGACCTCTACTACTGAAACTATTTTACTTATAACAAATACAAAAAACACTACTCTTCGATGGTCAAGAATATTGAGTGTTTTTTTCTTTTTAGATTTTGGAGGAGGTCATTACAATTAAAGAGGCTGTTTATTTTTTTTCAAATATGTGGTTACAACTTTTTCTTAATTCTATAATTATGAAATACGAAAAGTGCCGCACTGAAATTTAGAGTTAAGTATAACACTATAAAGAACTTGCTAGCGTTTCAACTTCATACCTTTTGCTTTCTAGAGTAAAAACCACTTCATTACCAGGGTTTTAATGAATAAAACAAGAGAAGGTATGTTTGAGGCATTATTTGTACTAAACGAAAGCATGGATACTATTTTTAAAGGAACCAATGAAGATTATTTTTAATCTTCATTGGTTCCTTTGAAAATAGTATCCAATGTTTTTAATTTACACTACAAACACTGTTGTGAACACTAAAAATAGTGTTTATGACCAAGACTATTCACTCAAAAGAAACTGAAAAAACACTGACTGTCAACATGTTTTTGACAGTTTGCTTTGCACAGTAATATATGATGAATTTTGATTTTCTTAAGACTACTGAAATATATTATAAACTTTTTGTATCTATCAAGTAGTGATTCAGCCTTTTGAGCGCCTTTTTTTTATTTTCACACCACCTATGTCAACAAATCTGCATTGGATAACCAAGTATCCAAGTGATGTTTTCATAGGTTGCTCTTCTACGAGGAAAGTCATGGATAAATTGCCATATTGCTTTTAGTAGATTCTTTAGCTCCCAGTAACTTGCTTTAGCCCCTGCTTTAAAACTGCCATAAATGATATGGAGACTACAGATTCCAATATCTATAGGAGAATCAAGTTCTTCCTCCTTCCTCTGTTCCTTTAAATTATCTAGAAAAACCAAATTTACATTTAACCCATCTGAAGACACTTGTAGAACCTTTAATTTATCTATATCAGAAATACAGTTTGCATAACATCATGTGCTGTTGAGTGCCCCATGAACACTGATTTAAGATAATAATTTTTAACCATACTCATATTGTCATCCCAAAATCTAACTAAATGGTCCATTTGAACCTTCTAAAAAATTTGGTTTAAGGGTTCATCAAATGAAACAGTGTAGTAAGGTATATTAAATAGGGAAGTTAGCAACTCATTTTTTAAAAAAGGGAGCTAATCCAAATGTTGAAATATAACTTGCCTTGATGGGTCCACATTTTACTAAATTTAACAGAATCAGTTAAAAATTCATTAAGTATTTAGAATCAAGTGTAGATGTATTTATTAGCATTTTATTAATTGTTTTTTGGTGTTCTGCTTTATTTGAGCATTCTGACATATACTTATTAGCTAGACAGTTTTAGGAGCATTTGGTATCAATTACTTGATATTGTTATCAGAAGGAGATCTCTCTATGTGCTTTTTACCTTTCATTTATGAAGTTAAAGCAGCTTCTCCTGTGTTAGCAATAATTAATGTATTTAGCGCAGTAACTGCAAATCACAACAGTTTCTTTTTTTTTCATGTTGTTAATGTTTATTTTTTTCTTTAACAAGCCATTTTACTTGAAAAATGCATTCATTTTTAGGCATTTTCTAATTATTTTATCTGTAAAAAAAAAAAAAAAAAAAAAAAAAAAAAATGTAAACATTTTAAGAGTCAAAAAGAATTTAGAATCTCTAATATTTCATACTTTTAAAAATTATTCAAAACTATGCAACAATACAATCAATAAATACTTATTGAAAAAATATATATCAACAGTCTATATATTAATGATTTAAGAAAACCTCTTAAATCATTAATACATATATGATAATATCTTTCAAATAATACTTTTAAAACAAATTAACTATGCCTTATTGTGGATGTTAATTAAAAAAATGCAGGACTTTCCAGGGCTACTTTCAAAATTCCAGACTTTTCAGGACAACTTTTAAATTGCAGGACTTTACAGGGCTACTTTCAAAATCCCAGACTTTTCAGGACAACTTTCAAATTGCAGGACTTTCCAGGACAACTTTCAAATTGCAGGACTTTCCAGGACAACTTTCAAATTGCAGGGCTTTCAAGGACAACTTTCAAAATCCCAGACTTTCAAGGACAACTTTCAAATTGCAGGACTTTCCAGGACTTTCTAGGACTAGTGGGTACTGAATATACAGTTATTTGTTATAAATGAATCAAAACTACACTTTCTACTTCTTTTAACAGATTTATATATAATATAATCACATATATATAATCACATAATGATTTAAAAACCACTGGGTTTCCCTCTTGCATGCTGATTTGATCTTGAAATTTATAGTTAATAACTATTTTTATTAAGTATTTGATTAACAGGTCAATGGTTGACTTATTCTTTTGAAAAAGATAAATCTATGAACTCTGGATGGTAAGTTTCTTTGCTTAGGTAGAAGAGCAAATACCACAACAACAAAAATATCACTATCGCCCTAGAATGCTATTTGTATTAGAAAAAGATGGTTCACGAAAATGATAAATTCACTACTTAATTTTAAAAGCATGTTTTTGTACGCATGATTATTGAGTGAAGTTTTAGTTTTTGTTTTGTTATTTGCTAAAATGGTATTTACCTTATGAGTTTTCAAAATGATTCTGATGTTCTTGAAATTGGTTGCGTTAAAAGTTTCCTTTCAAATGAAAAATTGTTCCTTGTCAAATAATTTTTGAGTTTATATTTAGTTATGTAGCTGTAGTGATGTAGCTATAGTGATGTAGCTGTAATGTATTTTTTTTGATTTACATTTGATTTCTATATTAATTTACATTTAGTAGTGTATTTGGTGTTATTTTTGGCTATCTATAAAAATATCCTGGACAGTCATATACACATTTTTACTTTTTTTTAATTTTATGTATGTATAATTTTTAATCAAACTTGATTGTTTATCAACATATATCGTAATAATAAAAAACAAAAAATCATAAAAATGTTTACAACAATGTAAACATTTTTATGATTTATGTTCTTTTGAAGGTTATACTAATAAGTTCGGC